GGAGGAGGAGGAGGAGGAGGGGGGTGATTCGGCCGCAGTCCCACGCAGGGTTTTTAACAGCTCTGGAGCCGAGGGAAGACCTCGAACACGCGAGCTTTGAGTGTATGTCATATCCGCTTCGCGCGCCGTGGGGATGCCCACGAGCCGAGAGGCTCGCAAGACCCACAAAAACACACACACACGCACACACACACACAAAAACACACACACACACACACACAAAAACACTGTGGGGAAAAAACGCAAACACACACACAGACAAAACACACACACACACTGTGGGAAAACACACACACACACACACGCACACACACACACACAAAAAAACACAACAACAACAACAACAACAACAACAACAACAACAACAACAACAACAAACACACACACATACACACACACACACACACGTGTGTGTGTTGTGTGTGTGTGTGTGTGTTTGTTTGTTTCCCACGTGTGTGTGTGTTTCTTGTGTGTTTTGTTTGACACGAAGACGCGCCGGGTCAGGTAGCGATCGTGATTGACCATTGGCCGCAGGATGTGCGGCAAACAGAATCCCGCACGTTGTCACAGGAGCTCGCTGACGATTGCGGTGCCAGAGCACGTTCGCCGATCCCGAAGCAGCGCAGAGACATTTCGCAGCAGCCCGAATTCCGAAATATTGCATGGTTGACTTCAGCGTCAGGGCACCTGAGCGCATCAAAAGCAAGCGCACGCAGCGCACATCCTTTAGTTGCTCTGCCCCAGCACCAGCGCTGCTGGACAATCCCTTTGTGCTGGGTCCCTTGCAGGAGTATCTAGGCACACACGGCATCTCCATCGATGGCGAAGTGGTTGGCGGCATCACAGGCACGGGAGCCACCGCCCAGAGAGGCAGATCGTCCACGAGCCGGCAAGACGGGGGACACGTCAAGTTCCGAGCAGACGCTCACGCTCCAGCTCGGGGCACGGATGCGAGAGAGAGAGGGGAGTTTGCCACGCCCATTTCAGGTCACCAGTGGGCCATTCGGAAGGTCCGAGCACGAGAAGGGCGACCAGCGATCCCGACGAGCACGTGGAGGTGCAGGGCAGCGGACCCCCTCGGCCACTTCCGCTGCACTGCTCGCCGGCCAGCACCAACTTTGAAGGCAAGCCAGAGGACGATCCATTGCGTCCAGGTGTGCACGCACGTGGCGCCGACTTGCATCCTGTCGCTGCGCAGAGGGCGCCAGGGGTGACCACGATGCCAGGCAGAGCGCCCGTTGACACTTTGTATCCAGAACTTTTGGCTCAAGCCGTTTTGCTTCAACGGTCCTGTCTCCAGGGGGGGGCGGCCTGTGCGCTCGCTGGCGTGCGCGGGGCTGCAGCTTCTTCAATGAAGATGCTTCGATACGATCCTTGGACCGTGGATGGCAGTAGTGACAGCCAGAGCCCATCTAGCGATGATGGTGGCTCCGAAGAAGACGAGGGCTGCGATCAGCACGGCAGCTTGGGTGCGTTGTTGATCAAGTATCGCCCAGACGTGGATGGTTTGCGAGCTGTAGCAGTTACCGGCGTCATAATATATCACATGAACGAGCAGTGGTTGCCTGGCGGCTATACAGGGGTCGACGTGTTCTTCGTGATCTCAGGGTACGTCGTCACAGGCTCTCTGCTCAGCCATCAGAGCAGCAGTGTATCAGATTTTCTCTGCGGCTTTTATGCGCGACGGATCAAAAGATTGGCCCCTGCATTGTTGCTGGTGGTCGGAGTCACTGGGCTCATTTTGGCGCTTACCGAACCGCCCAGTCTTCCTCATGTGGACGATTATTTTGTGGCTGCTGCGTGTGCTGTGTGCGGCGTCGCTAATCTGTTCTTCGGATTCCTTTCGCAGCAAGGCGACGGCGGTTATTGGGACCAGATGACGGGCAAAGATAGGACAGCTGCCAACCCGTACGTGCACACGTGGTCTCTAGGGGTTGAGGAGCAATTTTACCTGGTCTTTCCTCTGCTCCTGATGCTCACGCATGGTCGGCCTGGCGCTGCGTCAGGGCTGGACCCTCGCCTGGTGTCGCCGGCGCCCGCCACCGCACTTGCAGCGTGCGCTGCGCTGTCGCTGTGCGTCTGCTGGTGGATGACCGAGCGCGTGCCCGACCTTGCATTCTACGCCCTGCCCGCGCGGTTCTGGGAGCTCGCCGCTGGCGCCATCATCGCCGAGCTGGAGGCGTCCAGGCGGTCCTGCTGGCCTGTGGCCTGGAGATGCAAGGCGGCTCTAGCGGCCCAGCTGATGGCGCTGCTGCTGCTGGGCTCAAGCTTCTGGTTCGTCACGCCGGAGGCCATGGGCTTCCCCTTCCCTGGCGCCGTTCTCCCCGTCGCCGCGGCCATCTGTTTCATTGTCGCGGGGGAGAGCGACGAGAGCTTCCTGAATCACAAGGTATTGGGCGGCACGGTGGCGGTGTACATCGGGAAGTTATCCTACCCGCTCTATCTGTGGCACTGGCCAGTTCTGACCTTTGCCAGCGAGTTCTCATTGGCCGATCCGGCAAGTCCGGCAGGGTGTCTCGTTCTGGCATCGATCACGTTTGCACTGTCCGCCCTGACCTATCATGCTGTCGAGGCGGGCTTTCGCGCCTGGCGCCCCAGCAGGCACTATCCGAGCTTTCTCTTTGGGTGGAGGGCAAAGGGTGAAATCTGAAATGCCGTTTCGACTACGACTTTCGAGGTTTGAATCTGCAAAAGGTGAATCACAAGACGGATTGATTTCGAGGTGCGAAAGTCCATACGGTAGGTTCGCGTGGTGTCGACCCGCGGCGACCCCGCCGCCAGCATTCAAAGTTGAACGCCTCCAGCGACCCAGAATCGGTCGTTGTGGAACGATCTGACGTTTCGGCAACGTCCGATCCTTCAGGATGGAACGCTCCCCGCGGTGTCGGAGACCATCGCCAGAGTCGGCGCGACACGGACCTGCCGTATGGACTTCACCCTGATCTTTTTCCTTGGGTGGAGGGCAAAGGGTGAAATCTGAAATGCCGTTTCGACTACGACTTTCGAGGTTTGAATCTGCAAAAGGTGAATCACAAGACGGATTGATTTCGAGGTGCGAAAGTCCATACGGTAGGTTCGCGTGGTGTCGACCCGCGGCGACCCCGCCGCCAGCGTTCAAAGTTGAACGCCTCCAGCGACCCAGAATCGGTCGTTGTGGAACGATCTGACGTTTCGGCAACGTCCGATCCTTCAGGATGGAGCGCTCCCCGCGGTGTCGGAGACCATCGCCAGAGTCGGCGCGACACGGACCTGCCGTATGGACTTCACCCTGATCTTTTTCCTTGGGTGGAGGGCAAAGGGTGAAATCTGAAATGCCGTTTCGACTACGACTTTCGAGGTTTGAATCTGCAAAAGGTGAATCACAAGACGGATTGATTTCGAGGTGCGAAAGTCCATACGGTAGGTTCGCGTGGTGTCGCCCCGCAGCGTTCAAAGTTGAACGCCTCCAGCGACCCAGAATCGGTCGTTGTGGAACGATCTGACGTTTCGGCAACGGCCGATCCTTCAGGCTGGAGCGCTCCCCGCGGTGTCGGAGACCATCGCCAGAGTCGGCGCGACACGGACCTGCCGTATGGATTTCACCCTCTCCTCCTCCGCTTCCCTCTCCTCCTCCTCCTCCTCCTCCTCCTCCTCCTCCTCCTCCTCCTCCTCCTCCTCCTCCTCCTCCTCCTCCTCCTCCTCCTCCCCCTCCTCCTCCCCCTCCTCCTCCCCCTCCTCCTCCCCCTCCTCCCCCTCCCCCTCCCCCTCCGCCCTAAGAGAACGCTCCGACCCATCGCGTCTTCGCCGCGCTGCTCCCCGCCTCGCTGGCCCTCGCGGCCGGCCTCCTGCTCCTCCGCCGGCCCCCGCTGCGGGCCCCGCTCTTCGAGGCCGCGCTGGCCTGGGGCGCCCCCGCGGCGCCCGGCGGCCCCGCGGCGCGCGGCCTCCCCGCGGCCCCGGGCGCTCCGCTGCCCCGCACGGGCTGCGCGTGCACCAGCAGGGGGAACAACACATTGGCAGCGCGCGGGCGCTGTGCATGTTTCCCTTCGGCGAGGGCCCTCGAGGAGCATCCTTTTGATCCTCTCGCGAGAAAAAATGCCGCGCACGAGGCCGAACAAAAAAGCACCGGAAGTGGACGTCCGAGCGATGGCCAGAAAAGTGGCACGAACATGAAAACTCGGAGGTCCGCGCGGGGTTCTCGGATCGGCGCTGGGGCCCCCCCTCCCTGGCGCGCGGAGCGCGCCGCCAGGGGGCCCCAGCGCCGATACGAGGAATCCGCGCGGACCTCCGAGTTTTTATGTTCGTGCCACTTTTCTGGCCATCGCTCGGACGTCCATTTCCTATGCTTTTTTCGGTCTCGTGCGTGGCCTTTTCTCGCGAAAGGATCCAGGATGCTCCTCGATGGTCCTCGCCGAAGGGAAACATGCACACGCCCGCGCGATGCCAATGTTTTGTTCCCCTAACCAGGGTACCAGAGTTCTTCCACGCCCCGCCAGCGGCGGTCAGTGGCGACAGGCCGGGCCTGCCTGCCTGCCTCGACTTGAGCTGGTCCGTGGCTCCCGAGGAGTGTTGGGCACAGTTCGTGTCCTGCGGCGGCTGGCTCTGCCAAGGCGAGGCAGACTGCCATGCGCCGCACGCAGACCCCCAGAGGAGGTGTTCCCGAGTGAAGAGGAAGAACAAGAGGAAGAACTTGTCAAGTCCTCGAGCTGAGATTCTGGCCATGTCGCCATGCCTCAGTCCCAGTGCCGACCATCAGAGGAAGCCGATCCTCCTTCTCCTAGGCGATTCGCATTCGAATAGGCTCTTTCCAGGATTGTCGCTTGCCCTGCGAGGCGAATTCGAGATCCACACTTGGGCTGGCGTGGGGGCCAGAATTATGTTCAGGAGAGGAAACTCGTGGAGTGGCGTCCGGGCGAGGCTGCAGCAAATTGCTGCCAGTACCTTGCGGCCAGGAGACGTCGTGGCCTTCAGTTTCTACGTCAACAACCCGAAGCAGCGCGCCGACCAGGACTTCGTCAGCGATTACGTGTCCTTTCTGCATGAATGGAGCGCCATCGTCAAGTCCAAAGGCGCAACGCTCGTCGTTTTTGGGGACCCGTACTCGTTCCTGCCGACCGAGGACCCTATCCGCTGCCGCGTGCTGCCAATGCTCCAGCCGTCGTTCTGTTTCCCTGCCAGGGAGGATGCGATGCGGAGCCCAGTCCTTGTGGCCATGAGTGCGGAGAGAGGCTGGCTGTACTTCGGCTTGGATGGCCTTTTCTGCAACACGGAGTCTTGCGGCCCGTTCATTCCTGGGACGAACTACTTGGCTTATGAAGACACACATCATCTCGCCGAGGCTGGCAGCGCGTACCTGGCGCCCTTTATATGTTCGTTCTTCCGCGACCACGGGCTCTTTGGCGATGCTCGTTGACAGCCGCTTCTGCTTCCCAGCAGGAACAGGAAGACCATACGCATCAATATACCAGAACCCTGAATCTTTCTTCCGCGACCACGAGCTCTTCGGCAGTGCTCGTTGACAGCCGCTTCTGTTTTCCAGCAGGTACAGGAGCACAATTCCCAATACCATACCAGCATCCTGAATTGAATACACCTGTCATTGTCCTCTCTCCTCGCCTTCCCTGCTCTCCCGCTCCTTCCCCCCTCTGTGCCACTCCTTCAGGATCCCCCCCTCTCCTCCCCGCCGCCTGCTTTCTTCGTCCCGCCTTTGCTGCTGCTGTCCACACGTGGCAGTGTGCTTCCGCTGCGTCCGAGTCGCCGAAGCGTGCAAGATGAGCGCGGGAATCTGCGTTCCAACACAACTTCCCGTTCGGCCGAGCTGCCGAGTGCATCGCGCGCTCGCGCCAAGAGGGCTGGTGGGATTCTGCATGCTCGGCGTGGCGCGTCCGGGGCCCGCGATCTTGTCTCACAGTCGCAGACTGCCCGCTAACATCGCAGCCCGATCATCGCACCGACTCGAGAAACCGAGGGCCACGTAGAAGCTCTATTTCACTAGGGAGAAACCCCAATCAGTGGATGGTTTCGCTGAGGAGATCGACCGGGAACCTGGGAGCCCGGGAACCCAGAACCCACCGAAATCGGCCCGGAACCGAGAACCCGGCAACCCAGCTTGCTACCAACATCGGCGGGATTGTTTCGCCAAATCTGTCAACTTCCGCTAGGACTCCTTCAGTGCCAGCACTGCTTGGGGAATAAAGAAAAGAAGGTGCCAGGCAGAGCGCCAATCGGCGGTCTCGCCCACCAAATCCAAGGCAAGTGATGCTGGGCTTGTTTTCCACCACCACCACCAGAAGTTGGAAGGGGAGGGGGTCCTCCTCCTCCTCCTCCTCCTCCTCCTCCTCCTCCTCCTCCTCCTCCTCCTCCTCCTCCTCCTCCTCCTCCTCCTCCGTATCCCCCCATGCAACTGTGGTGGTGGTGGTGGTGGACAGCAGGCCCGGCAGGGGAGGCCAGGAGGAGCGAGCGAGCAGCAGTGCCGGGCAGGCTGCCCGGCAGACGGAGGGCCCTGCTCGCCCTGCTCTCTCCCTTACGGTCTCGGCCCTGCTCGCCCTCGCTCGCCCTGCTCGCCCTCGTCTCTCGCCCTCTGCCCGGCAGACGGAGGGCCCGTCTCGCCCTCGTCCATCCTGGGCTCAGGATGGGTCTGACCAGAATCGGTGTATGTGCATAGTTCTCTTTCCTCTATACGGGCCCCGCCCGTGCCGCCGCGTCGGCACCTCCATCGACTACAGGCAAGAGTGACCTTTCGCCGGAGTGACCTTTGGTGCGGGCCCAATGGGGCCCCCCATCGCCGAACGCGATGCGGCAGTGGCGTCCTGCGCGCCTGTGCTTTTAGCACACCCCCGCGGCCCCCAGAAAGCCGCGCGCCAAAGGTCACTCTTACCCAGGGTCACTCTTGAGTGCAGCCGACTCGAGTGGGGGCCGCGGCAGGGGAGGAGGAGGAGGAGAAGGACGAGGAGGAGGAGGAGGAGGAGGAGGAGGAGGAGGAGGAGGGGGAGGAGGAGGAGGAGGAGCAGGAGGAGGGGGGGGGGGGATGTGGAGAGAGTGCAGCCGACTCGAGTGGGGGCCGCGGCAGGCCCAGCGTCCTCGCCAGTGTCACGTCGGGCCTGTGCCCCGACAGGGGAGGGGGAATTTCGACGAAACCTCGCCGGGTCGGCTTTCCGACGGCCCACGACGGCCCACGAGGGCCCCGTGACGGCCCAAGGCGGCCCAAGGGGCATCTGGCGTGGTCTTTGAGGCCGTCTTGGCTATCTGAGGCCCTCCGGGAGCCATCAGAAATGCCCCCAGAAATAGTCAAAAGTAGTCCAAACATAGTCAGGGACTATTTGTTTAGTATGTTTTGACCTTTTGGGGGGTATTGGGAGGGTATGTTTAATCTTTCGTCGAACATCCTCCTGCAGAGGGGGACACGCCCGACATAACGCCAGTGCGCAGGGCCCCCCGTGGTGTGTCTGTCCATCTCGGCCAGAGGACGTGTGGTGCCAGGCTTAAGTCGGGCCTGTCCCTCGACGGGGGGAAGATTCAAAGATAGTCCCAAAAATAGTCTGGGGACGCTGTTTGGACTATTCGTGGCCATTTGGGAGCATTTGTTGCGTATGGTTTTCGTCCAAAAAGTCCCCTGTAGGGGGACATGCCCGACCTGATGCCAGGCCCTGCCTGCGCCTGGGAGTAGCTGTCTCCTCAGACGTCGAGGCAGGATCTGTCCCTCAGTCAGCCTCTCCCTCCTGCCCAGACCCCCGACGTCGTGATGTTGTTCACGTCGTCGGCCCCCAGAGGTCTGGACCCCCTCCCGGGGACCGGCTTCTCCTCCTGGGCCGTTCTTGTGGACAGTCCCGAGGGCCGACGAGGGCCCCTGGAGGCCGAAAGTCGTCAAAGAGAACCTCCTGTCGTGATTCTCTCAGCAGCGCGAGGAGGTCTGGGTGCGGCCCCAGCATGGCGTTCAGCCTCGCGCAAAGGGGGGTGGGGGTGAGGGAGGGCTTCTCAGGAGCACCCCTGCTTCTTGGAAGGCGCGGGCCTTCTCTCTCTCTCTCTCTCTCTCTCTCTATATATATGTATATATGTATATATATATGTATATATATATATATATATATATATTATATATATAATGTGAGGCCGGCGCCTTCTGAGAAGCGCGCCTGCTTCTAAGAAGCTCTCCCCCCTCCCTCCACCCCCCTTGCGCGCGCCGCCAGCATGTAGCGGCTGCAACCCCACAGTCTCGTGGGACATCTTCCGCAGCCGATCGGCTCTTCCGTCCCTAGGAGTGTCAGCCACGCGCAGAGGGAGGAGGAGGAGGAGGAGGAGGCGGAGGAGGAGGAGCCAACGAGGAGGAGGAGGACGAGGAGGAGGAGGAGGGAGGAGGAGGAGGAGGAGGGGGAGGAGGGGAAAGAGGAGGAGGAGGAGGAAGAGGAGGAGGAGGAGGAGGAGGAGGCGTGGCCGGCGAAGCGCAGGGCTTCAGGCGCGCGGAGAGACGGAAGAGGAGCCGCGGGGAGGGGGCGCGGCGCCGATGGGCGGGCGGCCGCAGCCCCCCGCGAGGACCTCCGCTCGCCGGCCTCCACCGGGTTGGGGGCGGGGTGGGGGGGCTTCTCCGAAGGGCTTGGGCGACCCGTCCTCCTCCGCCTCCGCCTCCTCCTCCTCCTCCTCCTCCTCCTCCTCCTCCTCCTCCTCATCCCTCCTCCTCCTCCTCCTCCTCTCCTCCTCCCTCCATCCTCCTCCCCTCCTCCTCCTCCTCCTCCTCCTCCCTCCTCCTCTCTCCATCTCTCCTCCTCCTCCTCTCCTCCTCCTCCTCCTCCTCCTCCTCCTCCTCCGCCTCCTGCGCCACCTCTCCTCCTCCTGCTCCTCCTCTCTCCTCTCCTCCTCCCCTCCTCCTCCTCCTCCTCCTCCTCCTCCTCCTCCTCCTCCTCCTCCTACCCCTCCTCGGATCGCCTACGGCCCCGGGGGAAACCGTGCAGGGGGGGGGAGTCGGGCGCATGTCAGGGGCAACGGCATGGGGCGCTCAGAGAGTTTGAGGTCCGAGGTTCTAGGCCTCCTCGATGGGGTCGGAGGATCGCGCCGCATCGCCGATGCATCGGCGATGCGGCTCGATGTGGAGCCCGATTTGCTTCACGTCGATGTCGCAGGTGCATCGCCGACGGCGCCGATGCATCGTCGATGCATCATCGATGTATCGCCGATGCATCGGCGATGCGGCGCGATCCTCCAATCCCAGAGCGTCAGGGTCGGGGAAACGTAAGGCTCGAGTACGCCGGAACTCGGACGCCTTTTGACGAGCGAGTCCCAGATTTTGATGGTCCGGTTTTCGTGGGATTTCTGCAGCGGGAGTTCGCGTCAAAGTTCGGACTGGGTCTCGTCAGTTTCACGGTGGCCCTGCCAGGCCAACCCGAATCCCCCGAGCCCGAGTCTCACGTCTCCCCGACAGGGGCAATGGCAGTGGGGGCTCAGAAGGTTCGAGGTCCGAGGGCTTCCGACGCTTCCACAGGTCCTCGACGGATGTCCGGCCCCGGGATGCCCTCCAGAGGCTGCGCCGCTCTTCTATAAGAGCGGCTCTGGGACGCCCGGATCGCCCCGCGGGCGGCTGCCGGAGGCCCGCGGGCTTCACCCGAAAGCCGTCCGGGGATGGGCTCCTCCCAGACCCCCAGCGTCGTGATTGTCGCGCAGCGTCGACCCCAGAGGTCTAGGGGGCCACATGTGAACCCTACCCCAACCCCCCACGATTTCTGACGACGTGAACCCCACCCCCCCTCTCAGAAATCGTGGGGGGTAGGGGTACGTAGGGTTCACATGTGGCCCCCTAAGGTCTGGACCCCTCCCCCGAGGACTGGCCCTTCCTTCCTCCTGGGTCGGTCTTTCTAAACGGCCTCCGGGGGGGCCGGGCAGAGCCCCGGGCACCTGTAGTGCAGAACTTCCCGTCGTGAGTTGCTCCCATCGCGAGGGTAAAACAGGGCTCAACAGGGCTAGGATCGGGATAAATCGCTCCAGAGCGTTCCAGAGCGCTCTCAGAGCGTTCTGGAACGCTCTGGAGCGGCCGCGGCGCCCAATACGTCCTCCAAATCCGCCGATTCTCAGAGATTTCGAATTATCCCGATCCGATTTTGTCCCGATCTTCGCGTCGTTTTAGAGGGGTTTGGGGCTGGTCTCTCAGGAAGGTCGGAGGTTGATAGGCCTCCTACCCTGACACTTCGATTAGCGAGTTGGCCGCTTTCGGTTCGCGAGAGGGCGTCGCCGCCGTCATGTCTGCGGGTCCAGGTCCGTCGGTTTCGGTCCCAGGCCGTTCTCACAAAAGGGTGGTTTACCAAAGGGAGGTTTGTCCACCGTCGAGAAGACGGGGGTTCCCCGAACGCGGCGCGAGACTAACTGCCATGGACCTCTTCGGCCTGTGCGCGGAGCCCTGTGGCCCAAAATGGCACAAAACCTGCCAGTCGTGAAGTTCACTTCTAGGCCTCCTGGATGGGCTCGGAGTAGATGGGGTCGGAGGGTCGCGCCGCATCGCCGATGCATCGGCGATGCGGCTCGATGTGGAGCCCGATGTTCTCCACGCTGGCGTCGCCGATGCATCGCCGACGTCGCCGATGAATCGACGATGCGGCGCGATCCTCCGACCCCTATCAGGAGGGGAAAACACACACAGACACTTCATCGTCGACTCCCAGGTAAATATGGGAAGATATGGGCAGTGGGGGGGAGACGAAAACCCAGACAAAATATAGGAAAACATTGGGGATCCTGGGATTTGTGTGTGTGTCATTTATGTGTCCCTGGGTCCCTTCAATCACACCGTGAGGTGATCGTTTTCTTATTCATTGTTTTGCCGATCGGGGCGGCCCCCAAACCCCCCCTCTCCCCCTCCATGTAGTAGATCTTGGCTGTTATTTGGCGCCCGTTTCGACCCGGTGGAGCCACCCCCAGAGGCAGCACTCTTGCAAACAGTCGCACCGAGCAGAGGTCTGGAGCCAGACCCCCCCCTCCCGCCCCCCGATTAAGA